AGAAGGGGAGAGGGAGGGGAGAGGGAAAGGAGGAAGGAGAGGAATGGGGGAGAGGGAGAGGGAGAAGGAAGGACAGGAGGGGGGAGAGGAGGAGGAAGGGGAGGGCGAGGGGCAGGAGGAAGGAGTGGAATGGTGGTGGGGGGAATATGGGAAGGAGATGGAAGGGGGAGGAGGAAGTGGAGGAGGGGAAGAGGAGGAGGGGGGAATACGGGGAGGAGGAGGAAGAGGAGGAGGCGGAAGAAAAGGGGCAGGTGAAAGGAGGAAGGAGAGGAATGGAGAAGGGGAGAGGGAGGGGCAGGGGAAAGGAGGAAGGAGAGGAATGGGGGAGAGGGAGAAGGAAGGACAGGAGGAGGGAGAGGAGGAGGAAGAGGAGGGCGAGGGGCAGGAGGAAGGAGTGGAATGGCGGTGGAGGGGAAGGGGAGAATACGGGGAGGAGGGGGAGAGGGAGGAGGAGGTGAGGAAGGACAGGGGGAAGGAGAGAAACGGGGAAGGGAGGGAGAGAGAGGGGGGAGGAGGAAGAGGAGGGAGCGGGGGGAGGGCTTACTGCCACCCAAACCTTCCTTGGCCCCGAATGGAGGCCGATTCCTCACCAAAGTTTTTCAGGCCGATGTAGCTGATGAAGGTACCGCTGAGATCAATCGCTTCCAAGGACTTCCCACAATAGTCTAGAAAATCCATGTTTTCTGTCTGGTTCGGGTCCGCACGGTACCAATCCATTTGGTCCTGGAAACTAGAGCAAAAGAAACCTTGTTTTTAAGGGGGGGGGAAATAATTTTAAAAGCCCTCCTGGTCTCAACCCCGACGATTCTCGACTCACAGCCCCAACCGAGCCCATAACGTCTGTTCTCCGGTGAGGCGTTTGCTGGCTGAGTTTTGCGTCATTTTTAGGGCTGTTCTTGTCCCAATTTCGATCCCAATTTTGGTCGCTTTTTCGGTGCCCATCGTAACTCTGAACGGTCACTAAATGAATTGTCATTAAGTCGAGGACGACCTGTACTAACAAATTGCAGCCCTCCTGACTTTTTTTGACTGCTGGGATACGAAACCCACTAGGTCCTGAAGGGGCCACTGAGTAGGCCACGTATTCATGGCTGCCAGTTACATCTGGTGGGGGACGGAAGACGCTAAGCGAAGCAAAGATGCAAAATATGGATGGCTGTTTTATGAATTTGCAGGTGCTCCTCACTTTATAATAGCTCTCTTAGTCATCGTCATCCTCTTTTAACAACCCCATAAGGCCCTGCGCTGTGGAGTCTGGGCAACTGAATGGAGCCGAGTGTTTACTGGCTGGATGCCCTTCCTGTCCCCAGGGCAGAGTTTTGTTTCAGCAGAGAGATTCTCATGGTGCCCAGAGAGAGAAACATCCGCCTCTCCCTAGGATCGAACTCACAGCCTGCTGATTGTGAGGCGAGAGCTCCACCCCTAGGCCACCGCACCATTCTTCACCGTTCTCCGAGGGGCCGTTCAAAAGGACAGCGGCACTGAAAAAAAGGGGATTGGTGGCTATTTGTCAGTTGCGATTTTTGTGGCATTCCCCGTGATCATTGCGATCAAAATTCAGACACTTGGCCACTGACTCATCTTTATGACGGTTGCCGTCTCATCCCGGGGCCACATGATCCCCACTTGCGACCTCCCGACCAGCGAAGTCAACGGGGAAGCCAGAGTCGCTTAATAACCGGGTTACTAACTTATCCACCACCGTGATTCGCTTCACAACGGTGGCAAGAAAGCCCGTAAAATGGGGTACAAGTCACTTAACAAAGGTCTCCCTTAACCACAGAACATTTCGGCCTCAATTTGTGGTTGTAAGCAGGGGTTGGGATTCAAATTTTTAAACAACCGGTTCTGTGGGCGTGGCTAGGTAGGCGTGGCCATCTGACTGGGTGGGCGTGGCTTCTTTTTTTTGCAGCATTCCCCTCCCCCCATTTTTTGGCCTGCGTTTTCGCTCCCAGGCGGTTTCCCTGAGGCCCAGGAAGGCAAAAAAAACGGAGCGTGTGGGGTCTCTGTGCGGCAGCCCTTTTTCCCTCCCGAGCCTCGGGGAGCGAGGGGGGATCTCTGCACAGCTGATCATCGGAACAGCTGATCGTCAGGAGGGGGAAAAAAAACCGAAATACCTTTAAGGAATGATAGGGCAGAGAAGAACGCAGTCAGCGACGTCGAACATGCACGCAATGTTGCGCCTGCGCGATAAGGACTGACTGGGAGGGGAGGGCGGAGAGGGGCGGGGCCAGCCAGGGGCACTATTTGCCGGTTCTCCGAACTGTGCAGAATCATAACAGCCAGTTCTATAGAACCGGCCCAAACCGGTAGAATCCCAATCCCCTAGTTGAAAGGTCCAGGAATACCTGTATTTATACTCCGCCTGCATTGTTTGTCGGGATTCTGGGAGTTACTCCAATTAAATCATCAGCCTTGAGCCACACTCTCAAAACTAAAAAAAAGATTTACTTGAAGGTAACCTTCTACCTCCGGCATTTACCTGGGCATAGCCAACTTTGAGATATGTAATTCACTGTTATTCTTGACCCTGCTTTTCCCACCCTCCCACCCCTCTGGGTGTATCATCCAATGAAAAACGTCCATAGTCAAGAGTCATCAATCATGCTCTCCAATTAGATTTTTGCCTGGCAGAAGCTTCAGTCATCTAATCAGTAAGTGAAGAAAATATGAATGGAATGTACTTTCAATTCCACACTGCTGTCTGCTCTTTGAAACTCCCGCCCCCCCTTTCTTTCTGTTGTCAACTATAAAACGTGTATACAAAATGTTTTATGAGTTGACATTGTTTTTACAACCTTCTCTCCTGAAAGAGTTGAAGTTAGGTTGGCCAGCTAATTTTAAGACCACAAATATTGTGGTCAAGTGGGAATCCAGGTATCTGTGGACAAAAATAGGCATTGCACATACCGGATGTCTCCGTGCAGCTTCAGGACAAAGATGGCGGCTCCGATGTCATTGCCATAACGCTGGTGTAGGTCAGCATCGTACCTGTGAGGGGAAACGATTAAAAAAAACCTCGAGAAATTAATTCTCTTTGGTTATGGAAGACTTCCATGTGTCATGAGTGGACTTCAGTTCCCAGAATTCCCTAGCCAACATGAAGATTCAGACTTCAATTCCCAGAGTTCCCCAGTCAACACATTTAAAAAAGCATAGACTTCAATTCCCAGAGTTCCCCAGTCAAAGATGCAAGGACTTCAATTCCCAGAGTTCCCCAGTCAAAGATGCAAGGACTTCA